GAGGTGAGGCTGCGCAGCATTTTCCTTAAATTATTCTGGTACCTTATCGTCATCTTTTTCTATTTTTCCTTTGGCTCCAAATGTTACACTATCCTTTCCTGTCTTTAGTCCTTAATTTTTATAGTTTTTTGCCTTTTAAGCTTTTATATTTTTGCGGATCCTTTTTCTTATTCAAATAGTACGGTGTTATTGTGACAGGTTTTGTCCAGAAGGGCATATACCCTCAAAATTATTAATGCTTTTATTTTATAAATTCAAATTATATTTTTTGATATCATTTTATGCTATTTCCTCCCAGAGTAAATTTTATCCTCTAATCTAATCTATCAAAAGCCCCTGAACATTGTTCTTATATTGAAGGAAATTTAAATACATTAAAGTAATACAGTTTGTAAAACTTCCTTAGGCTCCCATTTCCTTTGGCCTGGCGTGGCCTGCGAGATGCCGAATTAAGTGCTGTAACTGGACTACCAGGCTCTGTATTTGTCCATTCCAACGGTTTTATTGCTATTCATGCTGGCCGAGAGGAAACTCTCCAGATGATAATTAAAACACTTTCGCAGCAAATTTCTTCCACAACCCAAGAATAGCCCTGTGCTAAAAAGGCTAGTTGTCATTTTATATCAATTATTAACATGTATAGTTTGTGTCTAACGTCTTTTCATACACCTACAGTTCTAGTGGCTTCAAGGCGAGAGGGTTAGACATTCATGTATGGATTCTTGAATGTGCCGTCCTCATTTTATGAAACTGCTCATCTTAATCATATTTATTAGTGCTCCTCTATCAACTTAATTTTGTTTTACTTGCTAGCTTCAGGATAGGTTTTCTTACTGTACAAACATTCATATTTGTTACATGCTTGTTAATTTAATATTAGGAGCCTCTCAAGCTTTGCATATATATTTATTTTTAATCTTGCATACCAATTTCTTTAGTTGGATTTTGCTATGCAATTAATCGGTATTCAAAAATTGGCTAATCATTGGAAAATTTTATTACTCTCTGGGATGGTTTTAGTCTTATATATGTATATATGGATTGTATACTTTAATATGATACTTTTCTTCTAGGTCAGCACAATTAATGCAATAAATATCTATGAAAAGTTTATTTGTTTTATCAAAAAGCTTTCGAAATGTGAGGGTCTTCTGGACATCCTTTGAAATGAGCAAAGCCCGCTTGAGCTTTATTGCTTTTTAAATAAAAAATTTAAACAAACCTAGCAGTCTGCCGACTTTGTTATATACTTTAAAGATAGTCTATTTGACTTAGACCTCCTAGTTGTAAGGTTATATAAAATCTACTTTGTACTCAATTTTTTAATTAGTCTTAGCAATAATGGTGCTTTTAATTTAAGCTATAAATATCAAGATATCACGGCCTCTATTTTCGTCGCAGTCTCCTTTTCCTTCGTGCCGGTGTTTAAACTCGTTTCCTCCACTTATTCGCGTCGCGCGTGGTCGTATCTCCGGCTTCGTAGTCTTAATCGAAATGTGCCAAGTCCATGATCTAACGCTGTGAATTGTCATTGCTAACTTGGCAGATTATCCTAAGGTACTTTTGTCAAGGTCATCCTGGCACCGCCAATTTGTTGCGATTATAAGGTCAAAATGCCTCATTATTGTTTAATTATATCTGCAACTATTGTTAATCGGGGTAGTACTAGTTTTTCTCAAGATCCTTTTTATTCAAAAACGTAGG